AGAAGAAGGAGCCTGGCAGCGTCGTGGCGGATGCAGCCAGTAGGGGTGGCTGGGTTGCTGCCCCCAGAGGCCAACGAGAAGAGCCCACGCTGCCGCTCGGCGGTGGCGGGGGATTTCTCCAGCAGCAAACGAGAGATAGTGGGCAAGGACCACGCTCGCTGCTGGAAGGCGGCTGGGCCAGCAGATCGGGAGCGAACCCTGTTGGACCAGCCGGAGTGGGCCCGGGCATAGGACCGGACTGCCCTCCGTACTCGGTCAGGGGGTGTCTCCTCCCCCCCCCCCGCTTCCGTCTTCCCCTCCTCCAAGCACACCAGGCTCCGTAGAACAACATCATCCTCGCTGAATCGGATGACAACGACCTCGGGGACCTCGGCGAAGAAGATGTTGAACAGCAGTGGGGATAACACATATCCTTGTCGCACGCCCTGTGTCACGAAGAACCAGTCCGATAGCTCTTCGTCGTCCATGCGCACCCGGGCCCGCATTCCATCGTAGAAGTAGAACTGGCGGATGACTTCGATCAGCTTCGCGGGATTCCCGGCCCTGGCCAGCACCTTCCATAGAATCTCTCGGTCCACCGAATCATACGCCTTGTTCAAGTCGACGACGCACATTGCTAGATATACTCGCAGCAGTTTCTGGTCGTGAAGATCCCAGGGGAAAACGTGTTGGGAATTTCGTGTGTTGTAGGGTACCACCAGCGCAGTCACGGGGACCCTTTGGACGTGGTCGGTGCGATGATGAGGCTTGCGTGCGTGCTGCGCACTTCTTCCCTCTCTCTCTCCACCACCACCACCGTCTCTCTCCAATCAAGTTTCCTTCTCCCACTCTCTCTCCAACTCTCTCCCAACCTCTCTCTCTCTCGGCCTAACACGGCCGACTACCCAGTGCCCCAAAGTAACGTCCAGAACGTGCTTGCTGCACCCCGCGTAGTTTACCTTTCACACTAGTGTGCCGATATCACGGTATCTGCGTGCGGGCGTAGCCTTCCGACGGTTGTACAGTCATGCGCAATCGGTAGACTCCCACAACAACATAAACCATGGAGGGCATCCACCTCTCCGCCCTTAGCGGAGAAGAGCTACAGCAAAATGTGGAGGAGATCGTCCAGCAACGAGTACAAGCCGACCTCGAAGCCAACAGGATCAACGAGGGTGAAGTCACCTTCGCCCAACCACCATCAGCCGGCAACCCAGTCCCACCTACCGGCAGCCAGCCATCACCCTCCAGCCAGGGTAAAACAGCTACCTTCAGCGACCCCAGCAACGTCGCACACATCGTGGCGCAAGCGACCAAGGCGACAGCTGAGGCCATCGCTGAACAACAACAGGGCTTTGCCCGCTCAGGCACGTTACGTGTCAGTCCTGGCTCAGAACTAGAACCTTGGCTTGGTAGCGTGAAGAATAAGCAGGACTTGTATTTTTTCGTAGTAAGATGATTTCATATTTTCGGGAGGAGGGTGTGCATGATGTGTTGGAACTGGAGGTCGAGGTCAAGGTCGGGAAAAGGGGTGTGAATGTAGGAGACCTTCGGAGACTTTTCAGTAATGAAGTGGTACACAAGTCTTTCAAACTGTGCAATATCCTTATCAGTAAGGTTTTGTATCCCCCGATTCAGAGCTTGATTCTGGCGTGTGAGAGTCCCCAAAAAGGCTGGAAAATCGCGACAGAGTTCTATCAGGAGAAAAAGCAGTCAGAAAAGTCGAGGTTGGAGCAGGACTGGAATGAGTTGGAGATGAGAGAGTCCGAGAGTCCACAGGCTTACATTGCCCGCTCAGAGACCCTTCGCCTGCGTCTTGCATCTGTAGGCATGATTAAGGATGAAACAGATGCCAACAAGACATTGCTCGTGGCCTTCCCTCTTCGTTGTATGCCGTGCAAAAAGGAATACTACTTACACATGTATGACCTGCAACGAGATCCCCGCCAGTAGGAAGTATGTCGTTGTGGGTGATGATCGACTGCTAGAAGTGCCAGCCATCGGTAGTGTTAATCTTAGTTTTTTCAGGAGGATGAGAATGGTGGGAAAACGACGACGTGTGTGAAGCTCACTGACGTGTCCGTTGTAGAGAGCCTGAGTTTCAACTTGTTCTCAACGCATGCTGTTTTCTCTGAAGCAACCAATCCTCCACGACGAACGTGGTGCAGCCCTACAAATTGGACTGCTCTTTGCTAGAGAGGAAAAAGCATCTGCAGCGTATGCCATGCGGTTGCCGTACGACCCATCTGCGACTATTGTAGACCCTGCTGCTTTGCCCGCATTCGTGACTGCCCCCGATTCCGCCCCCGCCGTTGGCTCCGCGCGTTCCCCTTCCAAAAAGGGGGGCACCGCGAAATCATTGGTGTCCATGTTGCGTACTCCTCCCGCTGGCTCAGCTAGCGTAGTACCTTCGGCTGATAGCGTCCCGCCCACTGGTCCCACCAGTGTAGGACCTCGAGTGAGAGCGTCCCGCCCGCCGGCACTGCCGACGTAGTACGTTCCTCGGCGTCCGAGTTTGTGTGTGTGGGTACTTTTCCGGGTATGGATCTTGGAGATACGAGTGTGCTCACCGACGAGCAGCTCATGGATGGCAATGATGACACCCCGTATAAAGATTTTTCCCCCGTGTTTATCCCAGAGAGTGACGCTGCGAATGTGGCTGGTCTTTTGGATAGCATTGATGGGGGTGCTGATTTGACTTGTGTGCGGCCGCGCTTGGCCCTGGTGCGTCCCCGTTTGCTCTTGGTTCGACTGAAAAGTCCGTTGACATCAACCGCTTCCACCGCTCCCTTGCCCACGCTTGCGAGCCTCGTTTGAGAGAAACTGCCCAGCAGAGGGGCATTGTGCTCACCGGCTAACTGGAACCGTGCACGGACTGCATGAAGGCGAAGGGCAGGCGAGGGTCGGTGGCGCGGGGGCCGGGAGCGCGGGCGTCCAAGCCACTGGGGCGTGTTCACATGGATCTGTGAGGACCGCTAGTGCCTTCCCTGGGCGGCAACCTCTACCTGTTCGTCGCCGTGGACAGCGCCTCGCGGTGGAACAAGGTCTACGGTCTCCGGCGGAAGTCCGACGCGCTGGCGGCAACGAAAAGGCTGCTGGCGGACGTGGGGCGGTACAACCTCGGGGGCATCGAGTGTTTCCGCGTCGACAACGGCACCGAGTGGACCCGCGGCGACTTCCGGCGCTTCTGCGACGACCACGACATCGGCGTCGAGTTCACACCTCCTGGCGTTCCGCAGTACAACGTCGTCGTCGAGAGCGCCATCTGGCGCATCATGAAGGCCGGCATGGCCGCTCGCCGCAGCGCTGGCCGTGTCTTCAACGTCGACTTCGCCTCCATCCCCGGCCTCGACGAGCGCGGTGACCGTCTTTGGATGGAATCGGCGAAATGGGCCGCCGACGCTCTCAACCAGTCGGCGACCAAGGCCAACCCCGGGCGGCGCTCGCCGCACGAGATGTTCACCGGCGAGCAGGGGCCGTTCCGCGTGCTGCCGTTCTTCCAGCCCGGCTTCATGCGTGAGGATCGCCGCACCAAGCTCGACGACCAGGCCACCCTCTGCTAATACCTGAACGGCGGCGACAACCACCCGAGCGGCACCGTCAAGGTCCTCAAGGCGTCCACCGGCCGCGTCGTCTACACCAACAACGTGTCGTGGGTGACGTCGGCGCCAGCCGGCGAGGGGGGTTCCGCTGGTATCACCG